TGCCTCCGTGCATAAATTTCGTGCACCTGGCCACTAGTATTTAATAATTGAGTAGTCTGGCAAGTATAAGCCAGTATAAGCATTTTGCAACATTTAACCATGCACCATTACATCCACATTAAAAAATCACACACAAACCTTTAGAGTGGGTTTCTGTTCAAGATGGCTGTGTAGGTAAACACTGTGCTCACCTCCTTGCACAACCACATCAAAAGTATAAAACAACCATCATTCAGAACTACCTGAAGTTCAGCTGAACAGAATTATTTATAACTAAGGATATAGAGAGGAGGCCTCATATTTATTAGTAGGAGGGGTTAAGATGTGGAATGGTCTTGTCTCACACTCACATGTATGGGTTACAAATCAGGAGGGATATCTCATATGTGGAGGTCTCCCCTGAAGAGGGAAGGGTCCTAATGCTGGGAAGAGAAGTCCCCATAAATTCTGGCTGTGAAGACTAGTGGGGACTGTGGCTGAGTGAGACAGGAAGCTGCTTGAGTCCCAGTGTTCCTCCTAATGTTAGGGCCTGCACACGGACTTACTTGGGTTCACTCACTCTGAACTCCAACACTATAAGAGCAACTTAAAAAGCACCAGGAATATATTGGGAGGAACTGAATTGACTATCAAGGGCTGGAGGGGTAGCATTTTCTCAGAAGTGCTGACAGAAATCATTATTCCTTTTCTAAGTCCTCCGCACACAGAGTTGGTAGACAAATGCCATGTTTGAATCTCTATCAATCTGCTCTTAACAGGTGATTCCCTGAGATGCTACTTCACTCAATTTGCAGGCCTACACAAGCTGCTTTTCCATTCAAATGGCATTTCTGGGCTCATGATGTGGACTTTATAAAAATATGTCAAGTAACATCTCATGTTTGATGCCCTAGACTGCTTGCTAAGAAGTCCTTAGGCCCAGCAAGAAATGCTAAAGGGTCTGCTATAAAAATAAAAAAGAAATAGAAAACGAAGAAGGAACATAGGGGTATAGAATAAAAATGGTGACAAATAAGTACCTTTCAATAATCACTTCAAATGTAAATGGATTAAATGCCCCAATCAAAAGATGGAGAGTAACTGATTGGATAAGAAAACAAGACCCATATATCTGCTCTCTATAAGAAATTTGCTTCAGAAAAAAAATATGCACACAGACTGAGAGTAAAGGGATGGAAAAAGGTTTTCCAGGCAAATGGAAATGAAAAAAAGCTAGGGTAGCAATACTTATATGACAAATTAGATCTCAAAGTGAAGGACATAACAAGAGATAACGAAGGCTAATTCATAATACTAAAGGGAGAAATCCAATAAGAAGAAATAACCCTGGTAAACATATATGCACCCAATACAGGAGCACACAAATACATAAAACAACAACAACAACAACAACAAAAACAAACAAACAAACAAAAAACCCAACAACAACAACAAAAAACTGCTGGAGGAAATTAAGGGAGAGATTATAGCAATACAATCATAATAGGAGATTTTAATACCCCACTGTGACCTTTGGACAAATCATTTAAAAAATCAGCAAAGAAACATTAATCCTAAATGACTAACTAGACCAGATGGAATTAATCAACATCTTCAAAACATTCCACCCCAAAGCCACAGAATATACATTCTTCTCAAGTGCACATGGGTCATTTTCAAAGATAGACCACATTTTGGGACATAGGAAAAGTCCCTTCAAATTCAAGAAGATAGAAATCATATCAAGCATCTTCTCAAATCATAGTGGCAAAAAACTGGAAATCAACTACAATAAAAATAATCCAAAGAAAACAAATACATGGAGACTAAACAGCATGCTATTAAACAAGGACTGGGTTACCAGAGAAATCAAGGAAGAAATAAAAAACATCCTGGCAACAAATGACAATGAAAACACAACAATCCAAAATCTATGAGACACAGTAAAAGCAGTTTTGAGAGGGAAGTTCATATTCCTACAAGCCTATTGCAAAAAAACAAGAAAAATTGGTAGCAAATTGTCTCGCTCTACAACTCAAAGAATTAGAAAAAGACCAACAAGAAAAGCCCAGTGTCAGCAGAAGGAAGAAAATAATAAAAATCAGAGTGGAGATAAATGACATAGAGACCAAAGAAACAATATAAAAGATCAACAAAACCAAGAGCTGGTTCTTTGAAAGGATAAAGAAGATTGATGAACCTCTATCCAGGCTCACCAAGAAACAGAGAGGACACAAATAAACAAAATTAGAAATGAAAGAGGTGAAATAACAGACCCCGCCGAAATACAAAGGATTGTTACAGAATACTACGGACAACTCTATTCCAACAAACTGGACAACCTGAAGGAAATGGACATATTCCTAGAAAAATATAACCTTCCAAAACTCAATCAGAAAGAATCTAAAAATCACAATAGACCAGTCACTTGGGAAGAAATTGAAGCAGTCATAAAAATATTTCCAGCAAACAAAAGTCCAGGGTCAGATGGCTTCACAGGAGAGTTTTACCAAACTTTAAAGGAAGAGCTAAAACCTATCCTCCTCAGACTATTCCAAAATATTCAAAAGGGAGGGACACTTCCAAACTCCTTCTATGAAGCCAGCGTCACCCTAATACCAAAACCAGATAAAGACAACACAATGAAAGAGAATTATAGGCCAATATCCCTCATGAACATAGATGCCAAAATCCTCAACAAAATCCTAGCAAATCGGCTCTAGGAGAACATCAGAAAGATCATACACCATGACCAAGTAGAATTTATTTCAGGGATGCAAGGATGGTAAAATATCCACAAATCAGTAAAAGTGATACATCACATAAACAAATTGAGAGATAAAAATCATATATCAATTGATGCAGAAAAAGCATTTGATAAAATCTAACACCCTTTCCTGATAAAAACTCTCAACAAGGTGGGAATAGAAGGATCATACCTCTACATAATAAAAGCTATATATGATAAACCCACAGCAAACATCATACTCAATTGGTAAAAACTAAAACCGTTCTCTCTAAGAGCAGGAATAAGACAGGGATGCCCACTCTCACCACTCCTGTTT